ATGTATATGTTGAATTATGTATATTCCTTTTATAGGCCTAAATATGGCAAAAAAAGACAGTGCTCCTGAAGCCAACTTTAGGACTGCTAACAGGAGAAAAAATGTACCTGCAAAAGACAGTAACTATGTCTCTTATTTTTTAACATCTTGAGAGAAATTTTGTGTAGGGCAGAGGAAGTATTATTACTGCCTTACCTCTGTAAAAGTCCTGTATCTACACTATGGAAAAAGGTTGCCTTGCCTGTCTGTATTCAAGTCCCACGCCGGCTGTACACATTTCCTTACTAGCGAGAGTCATTTGTGAGGATGTTTGGCTGCACTTTGTGTTGGTTTGGCAACAGCGTCTATCCAAATGCATGGACAAGGATATAGACAAGCTCTTAAAGCTGAAAGCTGTTTGTTAGTAAAAGGTCTTACAGATGATCTGCAGAATTACCTTCTCCCGTTTCTGAGGGAGACCTTTTGCCCTGTATCATTACTGCATAGATTTTGATGAAGAACTGTGCATGTGTTCCGTTGGAATTTTTATTCTCTCCTACATGTGTATGTTCACGCCTGTATAATGAAGCACACATCTAACAGCACGTAACAGTCTTGGCTTTGTATCATGGAAGACTTAGAATAACAAACTTCAAATATGAAAAACAAAACTCTGCTTTTGAAAAATTTCCTTCTACACATGAATCATTCTCTGTAATTATCTAGTTTCAGAATTGGACAGTGACTTCTACTACATCAGTATTTTGTGTGCTGAACTTTAAACATCAAGGGACCTCACTTCCAGGGGTGTCTAACAAACTGTAACAATTGGGTCTCCTTTGAGGTTTTGTCTATAAAACCATACTACAAGTGTTGGTAAAAGCAGTATTTCTTTGAAATAATTTGAAGCGTGCCTCTGAATGTACTCTTTTGGAAGAAAAGCATCTTTTCAGATCCTCCGTCAATGAACAGTTGTGGAGAAGAGACTAGTGTAAGGTATTGAAGCACTGTCCTATGTGATACTTTTTCAGAGGTAAGCTAAAAAACCTGTGTAGACAGAGGTTTCCAACATTTTGTTCCTGGAGGGCACTTAATGGCTTGTTCTTCGGGTTCTGATGACACGATGAAATTAATTGGCAGTACAGTGTCTCAGTTTGATGGATACAACATGATATCCACAGTTAATAGGACTCCAAAGGCTTTGCAGGCTGCAAGTGATGTGGAGTGAAGCCTCATTTTGGGATCTAGTGGTTTAGATGATACTGCCATAAGGCAGGCACAGAACCTGTAGGAAAATCCAGCGTCCAACTTGGAAAGTAGCTGTCAGTGGTTCATTGTCAAACAGGAAGGCTGTTTCAGCTTGGGGTTTTCCTGGAGTTTGTGCTGAGTCTGGTAATGTATTGTTTTTTTAATACTTTTTTTTTGGACACTAGAGATAGAGAGCCTGTTCATGAAATACGCAGATGATGCCTGGCAGATAGCCAACTGGCTTCATATTAAAAAAAAAGCCCTACTCCCCTGTATAACCCATGACAAATTGGAAAAAAGGTCTCGATGAGGGGAAAAAAGATGGAGAGTAGTAAGGACAGCTAAAAAGTTAGCAAGGCTGAAACAATCAACTGTATAAATACACCCTGGGAATGACATGCTGGTAATAGCGTTGTAGACAAGAACGTGGCAGTATTGAGTATGAGAAGGTAAATGTGAGTTATCTATGTCACGCTGTTGCAAAAGGGGAAACACACTGGAGTGTATAGAGAAGAGTGTCAGCTGTAAGACAGGCGAAGCGACCTGCATGCTTTACTTGGCACGGGTAAGGCCTCAGCTCAACCACCACATCTAGTTCTGGACGCTGCATTTCAAAAAAAAGATGTGAATCAACTGGAGAGAATTCAGAGAAGACACCACAATAACTGGAGCATGACTTAGGAGAGAAGACTGATGGAATTCGTGATTGTGTGATTAAAAAGACAGAGGATTAAAGAGATAAAACAGGGAGCTTCAAAAACAAAGAACAGTATATCCCATTCTGCATGTGTAACGAGAGTAAGAAATCTTGAGCTAAATCTGGTAATTTAGGTTTTATATTAGGAGAAAAACCCCTGTAACAGTACAGGTAATTATGCGGTGAAATATATTGCTGAGGAACTGCCGAGATCTCCCTGATGGGAGGTTGTTAAGAACAAGTCAAACACTCACCTGACTGGAGTGATCCAACAAATAGTTGTTTTGCCTGATGGAAGAAGAATGGA